GAGCAGGGAGGAGCAGAGGAGGAACACGGCGGACATTAAACCGTACGAGCAGGGAGGAGCAGAGGAGGAACACGGCGGACATTAAAACATGAAGGTTGCTGGTTTGAGTCCCATAATCATAGTACTACTGTAAGGAAGGAACAAAATCTTAATTACAGGTAGTAATAACTTGAAACCCAAATCTAAAAGAGCAGTTCAGAGTTAAAAAAAAGTTCATTGACTAGCAGTCTCACTGGGTGCTTTTTAATTAGTAACACCTCTGCAATAACATAAAACACCAAACATTTCTGTTTAGTATCCCTTTGGGAGCCAATGACTACAAATCTAATTAAGAGCAAAATGGCAAGAACAGAACTGAATGATTCAGTCATAAAAATTATGACACATAAAAAGAAATATGTACAGATGTTAAACATTGCTTGTCAATGGACTTTTGTTATGAAACCAATAAATCTGGAACATTATTACAGAATTAAGCAAGAGTTCTGAGACTTTGTGAGCCTGTATGTAATTGAGTAACTACTGGACTTACTCATCCAGGGATCTGAGTAGCACCCCTAAGGATACATCCAGGTTTGTGTTCTAGACACTTATGCTTAACAGGCAGCCGTTGTATAACGATAATATGCTACATGCCTTCTGAGTGTCAGCTGTTGACATCTATTAAAGAGAAGCTGGGCCTTTGGCTGTATGAGGAAGCTGCATAATCGAGTTCTGCTGATGCTCCTGGACCTGACCTCAGCCCTCCAACCTCCTGGCAGCACAAACATGCGGGAGCCTCTTCTTCAGGCATATCAGGAGACCAGGACACCCACCTTTCGTTTTGGCCGACCATCTGTCCTTATCATGCAAAAGCATGAATTTGGTGTTGGGAGGCAAGCACAGGAAGTAGGCTTCATCCTCCACGATGGTCCCATCCTCTTCCAGGACTACAGAGACGGGGGCATCGGCACGGAACCCCAAAGTCTCACATCCTTACAGCGGGGGAGAGCTTACATTTAATTTAAAATGCATATGCATCCTCAATGAATAAGATTCTAAGCATGAAAAAACTACTGCACTTTAAAACGCAGTATCACCATAAACATCGTTTCTCAACCCGCTCTTTGGGGACTGCCAGACGGTCCATGTTTTCACTCCCTCCCAACTCCCAGCACAGCTGTACCAAGTATTTGGAATCCTTGATTGGCTAGGAGCTGGGAGGAAGCAGAAACGTGGACCGTCTGTGGACCCTGACGACCAGGTTGAGTAACATTGCCATAAACAGACTCGCCTCAGCATGCGTCCATAAAAAAGTCTGAATTGTAACAGAAATGTTTTCACAGACACATGAACAGACTTCATGCCCCGTGCAGATGCTTTAAGAGGAATGTTGCTAAACCAGGCAACCCCATCTAAAAATAGAATTGCTCTGCAAAAGGTTGCAGTGACTGTGTTAAAGTTTTGCATAGTATTTTATCATTTTGCATTTTACTTTTTTATATTGTATTTTATTGCAAATCATATATGGTTATGCACTATGGCACAGGGAAGAGTTTGATATTGTTGGGGTGCAACTTAATTTAAATACAAGGGCCTATTTATTGGAGAAATGAATGAAGCCAAATTAGATATTGGGGGGTAGACCCCCGTTCCTATGCCCTCGGTTATGTTCATGATCTAATCTGCCCTCTTCATTTAAAAAAAAAACTAAACCACTACAAAGTTGTATTATTTATCAATTACTCTTACGCAAGGAAAACGTCTGTGTATCCAGGGCCGGCTCTACCTTTTCAGGGGCCCTAGGCAACAGGGTTGGGGCCATTCCGGAATGCAGTTGGAATTTAAATCTCCCTCAAATTGCAATTCAATTCCAAATCTGTTCCCCAAAGTTTGTTTTCCGGTTCCAACTCCAGTTCCATTTCCTGGTTTAGACTGGAACTGATGAATGCATTCCAGAATGTCCCCCACCCTGCTAGGCAAAGCTTTGCTTGAGAGGCCCCCTACCCACCCTATTAATGATCATTTCACTTCCTCTGCAGTGCAAGTAATTCAGGGGGCACTAAGCAACCGTGTAAAAAACGAGTTGGCCCCGTGTGTGTGTGGGGAAAAAATGTAAGGTCAATGTTGCTTATTGAAGCTACTTACACGTGAAACACTGTGTTCTTGGGACTGTATCACGAAGCAGGATTTCCTGCTTAGCCGGTTAACTAAATGTTAGGCTAAATGTGAGATGTCTGGGCTAGATGTACAGTAAGATACTTTACAGCGGGGTACCCGAAATCCGACAAGGTATCCAGCAAAACAAGGAATCTGGCGGCAAGCTTCATAAAATTTTATTCCTTCCTATCTAGAGGATTTCACAAATTCAATTCTAACTAGTTACAATGCCAGTTCTCAATATCAGAAATTCTATTTCAGCTAGCAAGATTCAAAGCATTTTCCCCCGATTCTTTCAATGAGTTGGAATTTGAACTAGTTAAAATAAAACTATAAAACTTTAAATTTAAAAATAATTTAAACTGAATATATAACTAGTTACAACTGAATTCCTGATATCAAAAATTGAATTCTCAGCTAGTTAAAAATCCTGAAATCAGCAATTGGCATTTTGACCAATTAAAATTGAATTCCTGATGTCAGAAATTGGTATTTTAACTAGTTAAAAATTATTGTAACTAGTTACAATTGAAATTCTGATATCAAGAATTTGCACTGTAACTATTTATAACAATTTGTTAGATCCTCTACAAATGAATTAAAGCTAAAACGGCTTGCCATAGACTACTAATGTAAGTGAACGAAGATCAATTCCATTTACACTTAAATCAGACAAGTCGCCCAGCTATTTAGGGAATCCTGCTTCGTAATATCGGACCCCACCTTTCATACAGTAATGAAAACACTAATCATGCCCATCAAGAACACGTAACACGAAAAAAAAAACCTTTATTTGCGCCTATGTTTACACGCAAGATAAATCGATCTAATCTAACCTGATGAGTTTTTTGACAGTTTACATCAGGGTATATTGGTTCCATTGTGTCAGACATACGCCGCTTATACGCATTTTAGGAATGAAGAAGATGAAGCTTACTGCCTCTGCACGTCAAGTCTGTACATGACACACAAACATGAGTTCGGCACGCAATTAGGAAGAGCGAAGTCACACATTAGTCTTCAAAACGAAACCTGAAACGGGCGCGTTTAATAGTTATCAAAATTTAAACCCCAAAAGCGCCCAATGCGCAAGGTTATCTTTTAAACGTGGCGCCAAACTTTGGGGAGTCGCTTTCTAATGGAACCCGTCAGTGAAGCCCCCCTTATTCAGACTGCATTAGTCCAAATGACCCTAAAATAACAATAACATTGAGCGCGGTGCAGCTGCCGCTCGTAAGCACACTCACCTCTGGCTTTAAGCTGTGCCAAAGACGGCACCGCCAGCCCGAACGTATCCTCACGGCTGTGATTACACACTTTACAAGGTTTTAACTCTGACATTGATATTTCCACGCCCTCCCCCACCCCCCAACAAATTAACAGCGATTAAGTACTTAAAAAAAAAAAGAAGGAAAAAAGAACGACAAAAGAAGACGAAATTCTGGACAGCCCTACTCGTGCAATGTCCACTGGTTGTTTCCCTTCGTTTTTTTTATTTTTTATTGAAAATGGGCTTATGGGAAATGTAGTGGAAAAACAGGCCTATATATATACAGTACACACACGGCGTCTCCCTCCCTCTCAGACGATACACGCATCTAGGTAGCCTACACTATTTACAAAAAGATTTCAGCAACGATCCCATACCATTCTGCTCAAATACGATACAATTCAGCTCGGAATAAAAGCAATTTTAACAAGTTTACCACGCATTGAAGTATCTTAATTTAAGTAAAAACACATTCATTTTGTCCATAACAAGTCATCGTTTTTATTTTCCGCTGCAAAAACTATTTAAGAATTTAGGTAAGCCTAACTGAAGTTGATCAGTTCATAACATTAAAAAATTACAATAATAATAACTTAACGGGAGACTAGAGCAGTGACGACTTCGACCCTTCTCCTAAATTCGAGTCGGATGTTGAATCGTCGCAACAGGACTTCCGATCAGAAACAGCCTCCTGCTTCCAGAACTCAAAGACAGTTTTTTTTTTATCCAGATGGCCAACTCTCATGTTATATCCGTCTTTAACTTTCTAAGCGGGGGTTTCCGCTCCACTCAGAGTAATACTAGGAGTACGCATGCGTAAATTGTTGCAGAGAGTTAAATAAAAAATAAGTTCAATGTTTTTTATGAGATGTTGCACGTACTTTTTTTCAACGAAATATATGTTAAGACCGCAAACTTCTTGGGGACGCCCTCATGTAGCAGAATTATGTCTGATTTTTAGGGGAATTGCGTCACGCTTCCAAATCCAGGCAAAGCAAACGCTGACATGCCGGAGCGGTGCGGGAGCGAGGCGTCTCGTATGTCTCCGGAGCGTCTCCGACTCGTCACTCCATTAGCCGGCCTGCCGGCGCGCGCTGATCGGGGTCCGACGGGCCGGCCTGCACAGGCTGGGGAAGATGGCGCCTTCCGAGCAAGCCGAGCAGCAGGCGCAGGTTGTGTGTTTAAACGCTTTAATTCCAGCATGCATTCTTCATGAGTCGTAATGTCCGTGTCTCTTTTTTTCCTCGTTAGCACCCGCGATACGGCAGGATTCAGTTTGTGCTAGCGTTGGGAGGGGTGGGGGGCTCAAAAAAGACAACAAAGTTACCCAGCGGAGTGCTTCACCTTCCCGTCCCCGCGTTTGACAGGTGCAGGCCGAGTGGCGTTTCCGTGTTGGATTCCCCTCCAGGAAAAAAAACGCAAAGAAGTTTTATGCCCGACTGGTTAACGCCGTAAAGTAGCCCCCCGGAAGCCGAGTGTGGACGGCGTGTCGGGCCGCGGCGCGGCGCTATAAACGCCATGTAGCGTCCTGCGGAGCGGCGTGGCGGTGGTCCGCTTTGCCCGCGCTGGGCTGCTGCAGCGGCTTTTGGATGCACATGAGGACTGTAAACCAGTCAGCCCAGATATGTTTAACATAATCTTAGCCATTTTCTTAATTCGTGTAGGAAGAGGAGGATGTTACAGGCAACATGCCGGCTCTTCGTGCGCGGATCAGGGTTATGGTTACAGGCTAATTGTTCAGTGATGATCTAAGCACCCCAAAGCAGTTAACCATTACCGGCATGACGAAGTGATAAAATGTCGGTGTTCAGAAAACCTTCAGTGTGCTTCACCATGCCTGCGTGGAGGAGCCGCTGGGTATCTCTGCTTACTTTAGGACATGTCCTTTTAATTTGCTTTTAAGAGAAAAAGGTCTTCACGCGCAATACACTACGGTTTGTATAATCCACCTGTTGGGTTGTATTAACGTACTGTATATGGACATCTATTTAACCAATTTAGCAACAGATTCACTAATTCATTTTAATTCAGCCTCGGTGTTTTATAAATCTGCTTTCTGTAGTTAAGCATTTTATTGGTATTTTGATATTTAAGTGGTTTGGTAGTTAGTGGAGACTTAATCCACTGTGGGTGAACAGCATTAGGCTCAGCTTTTCTGGGTCAGTGTCGGTATTGACCCCAAAACGCACAAACTGTGGTCCTGACTGCTGTCTTGTGCAATCCGGAGAAGCCTTTTGAGCTCTTGTTACAGATAACAGACTGGGCCGTTTTAATTATACATGCAATACCGAGTGTCAGTGTCTAGGTTGTTTTTTTTCGTCAGGGTTTGATGACCTGAAGCTGGAAGCACATCGGCGATCTTTGACCAGTCAATATGACCGTCAGTGTTACAACAAGAGTGTTGCCCTTATAGGTCACTGCTAACACTTTTGTTCCCTCTGCCCTTGAAATAGAAATGCTGTCAGGACTAAGCAGCTGTACCTGTTGCTGACAGAATGCTGTTGTACTTTTGGTTTTATAGAAATGATTAACTTTGTTGATGTGTAGTGGTGTGCAAAAGTCAGTCCCATGAGAAGACAAATTACTTTGGATGTGAGCTTTCTGTCTTTTAAGTAACGTAAGTGACAGCTTGATTGACCATGCTTGATATTTACTACCTCTTCAGACAAAAGCTGCCAGATGCAATAGTGTCTGTCTTTGCATTGTGAAAAAATAACTTGGAGAGGTATAGCTGTTTGATCTGTGGTCTTTGGTCTCTGAACTTAACTTGGATCAATCTATGTAATCAGTAATCAATCAGTAATCTATGGATATTTATAACTTAACAGAAGCACTGCTTTTTGGAAGACCTGGATTACGTGCCATCAGTTGGAGATTAATTTCTTTCAGATATAGGTGGTATAGGTATTGATTCCTTTAAATGCAGCCACTGGTATGGTACCATGCTGGATAGGCGGCGTTGATTGGATGAGGGGCATGTGGTATGGTACTGTGCTGGATAGGCGGCGTTGATTGGATGAGGGGCATGTGGTATGGTACTGTGCTGGATAGGCGGCGTTGATTGGATGAGGGGCATGTGCTATGGTACTGTGCTGGATAGGCGCCGTTGATTGGATGAGGGGCATGTGCTATGGTACTATGCTGGATAGGCGGCGTTGATTGGATGAGGGGCATGTCTGTCACCACAGCAGCCTGTAGGATGCAGTTATGTGTGGGTCAAAACATTTTCCTTAGACTTAACCTTCGGAGTCGTTTTATTTCTACAGAATTGATGGTGGACTGCTGGACCCACAGAGCTTTTGTGATAACGGCCCTAGTGTGTTAAAAAAAATCAGACCAGGTGACTCTTCAAGTGTATGAGAGTAAATAAGGTTCCTTCATCATTTTAACTTGTTACTCATGTCGTGTGGCAGCTGTAACTGGAAGATGAATATCTCTGTTGCTTATTTTGTATTGGGACAGATCCCAGTGTCCTCCTTAGACTGTGTCCTTAGACTGTGTCCTTAGACTGTGTCCTTAGACTGTGTCCTTAGACTGTGTCCTTAGACTGTGTCCTTGGACTGTGCTGCTCACACTGGGGGGTCGGACCATGTGTCGCTCCTCGGCCTGGCTTGGGCCCACGTAGGATTGCAAACATGGAAATAGAGTTTATTTCATCTGAGTGATGCTGTATGAAGGTGCTGCCACAGGTCGCCTGGACACCGGCGTGGCTGACAACATGGAGAAATGATCAGTGGTTTAATGAAGTTTAAACCATTGTTCAGGATGAACACCCCTCTGGTTACGATGTAAACTCCTCTAATGCTGAAGTTTTACGGTACCTGTATGCATATCGCTGGATTTCTTCTCCTTTGTTATCTTAGCCTATTGTACTTAAATGACTGAAATAAACTGAAGCCAGACCACATGATCGATCTCTGCCCCCACCCTTTCTTTATAGGGTGCTTCTGCTCTTGTGGTCATTTGATTTTTTCTTCGTCTCAGCTGGGTGGCCCAAGCGGCTCAGGCTCGTGTTCCCTCAGGGATGTACGCTGGAGATTGTAGGCGTGGTGATTGTAGGGGGGGGGCTTGTGCTCCTTCTAAGAAATGTCACGTGATGAATGTGTTGTTTTTTTTTAACCGATTGTAGGATCTTGTGTTTTCATCCAGTTTGTGCCTTTACGTGGCTTCATGTAACCCAGCGGTGGCCTGTCTTATCCGCAAAGGGCCGGTGTGTGTGCAGGTTTTAGGGGTAACCTTTAGGTCAGCTGTTCAAACCCAGGTGTGAGGACTCTTCAGCCAATCAGTCCTCTAATTAGTGACCTAATTAGGGAGTTGCTGCGACAAACCTGCATACACAGCGGCCCTTTGCGGGTAAGATTGGCCACCCCTGCTGTAACTGCATTTTAATATAGTCGGCGAATAAGGGCGCAATGCCTAGTGCGGCCACTAGATGGCTGCATTCTAACACTAATCTCCTGTTATTTCCAGACCACTGCCCTGTCCAAAGAAGACGCGGAACCGAGAGAAGCGCTGGTAAGACTTTAGTACTGTGCTCACTGCACATGTCTGACTGAATAACCCAGTGTGAACTCATGAAGCTGCATAATTGTATAAATCTGTAAGATTGTACCTCCATCCTGATCAACCCTCAGCTTCGTAGGGCAAAACTCAGGAACATTTATTGCAGAGCCCATTTAGATAGATAGATTCTTTATTTGTCACATGTAGTTATAGCTGCTACAACATACAGCGAAATGCTTTTTCTGGCAAAAAGTGCCCCGGCTGTGCTATACATACAAAAGGAATAAGTACCAACATCACAGAAAGATAAAATATATATAATACACAATAGTATACAGAACACTGCACTGTGAAAGTATAAATTGCACTGTATACAGATTGCACTGTGAAGATATAAATCTCACTGTAGGTGTGCCATAAAGTGCAGATATTTTATAAGTTATGGAACTGGATAGTAGAAGACTGTGTGGTGTGTGTGTCGTTGTCCGTTATGTGCTGTGGTTGAGGAGTCTCACTGCTTGTGGGTTAAAAACTCTCCTAAACCGTTCAGTTCTTGAGGCGTTTCCCTGACCTCAGTGGCCTGAACAGCTTGTGGGCGGGATGGCTAGAGTCCCTGGTGATCCTGGTGGCCTGGGATCGGCACCTTTCAGCATAGATGTCCTGCAGGGCTGGTAGAGAGGTTTATAGATTTATAGATGTTTTGAAATGTGGCTTCATCAGCTGGCATTGTAGCGTGGTGCGAGGTGAGGACACAGATTCCAACTCGCTTGTGCCCCACGGACCTGTGCGGCCGCATGCCCTTTGCTAGAGGCAGCTCGTGGTGCTGGCCGGATCCTCCCCGGATCCTCTCCGGCTCTCTCCATTCTCAGAGATCCTTTCCTGCCCAGGCCGTTCCTCTTTGGCAGGGCTGCCAGTTTGATGTGACTTTCGTTTCCCTCAGCGGTGACACTTTTGTTGCGTTTTCAGTATTGTGGCTGATATTAGAAACCGCCGCTTCACCTCAGGTCCCAGGCTTTGCCCCTCGACTCTGTATCTGTATCTCAAAGGGCAGCGTAATGGGAGATGCGGGGGGGGAGTGTCCTGCACCTTTCTGCAGATGGCAGTGCAGGACCTTAGCCTTGGCACTGCCCCCCCCACCCCAATAGTGACTTTCACTAGTGCTCTCCTGTTGGTCTCCCCACCCAGCAGCCCCTCGCGCCCTGCCTCAGAGACACACTCAGACATCTTCTCACAGCAGGAGCAGATCTTGACGACGATGCATCTGATTCAGAAAGTCGCTGACAAGTTGGTTTTTGTTTTGTTTTAACCCCCCAACCCCCCCCCCCTCGACTAGCTGCTCTTTCCCAGTTAAGTGGATTACCACAGTGCAGGATAATTCCTGTCACAAGGAATTATTTGGACGAGGTGAATAATTGAAATTTGTCTGAAAGAATTGTGGCTGGATAGCAGGATGGGGCTGCCATTGGGAGATTGGAGGGGGGGGGACAGCCCTAACGGGTTGTGACTCACCTCATGGTATCAGATAGGCCTGGGCACCAAGCTCTGCCCTCACTTGCTCCCGCTCACTTTATAAGTCATGCAGTGGACACCTTGGCTCATATGAGGTGTCTGGATATTTGGGTCCGATAACCAAGCAAAAAATTACAAAAAAAAGCTTCAGTGTATGTTAGGTTTGACTTTCTATGGTTTTCCGGTTATGAAAGGTACCTGGGACCTGCACCTGCCATCTAATGCTTCAGTCTAATCAATGATTTAAGGTACCTTATGTTAAGGTCCTCCGATACCTGAGAGAGAGAGTGCCTGGAAAGTGCTTAAATGGCTAACATTGGTGCCCCCTGCTGGAGAGGAGGACTGGCCTGTTCAAGTGTGGCAGGTTGGTACAGAGTGCACTAGCAGCAAGGGTGGGTTTTGGGGGTGGGCGGTACAGCTTGTGGCAGAACCCACCCACCCACAGGATCAGCCCCCTCCCTGCTGCGTATCCCTGCTGCATCTCCGAACATCACTGGCCTGCTGTTGAAAGGGTTTGGGGGTGTTTCACGGGGCTGGGGCATGGG